AGAGAGAGAGAGAGAGAGAGAGAGAGAATTTAACACAGATAAATTCCCAAAGCCTATCCAATAATGTGAGAATACCAGAATTCGCCATCAGCCCTGTTCATATAGAATTTTTCCTTGAATGATTGAGGAACTTGATTCCACTCCATAGAACTGTAAGAGATCAAAATCACATATGACTTGAAAGATATCAATACTCTTGTCATTGTAACATTACTTATAGACCTTTTCATGCGAAGACTTCCACTTTCAGTATTCACATCTAAAAGTTGAAATCAAAATGGTGGATAATTGCACCAAAGAAAATGCCCTCCCCCAAACATACATTTCATTTTGGATTTCTTTGATGCAGAAAGATTAACTTGTTCAATATATTTTGTAGTAACTTTTTCATCTGCCCATGAGCTTGGCCTTTTTTTACTACAGAGTTTGTGGAATTCTTCTCATTACTGGATTCAGTTTGCTTCATTCGGCTGCTTCTAATGCTAGTGTGACCTTTACAACAAAATTGCAAGGATAATTACAGGGGAAGAGAATTCTTCTCTAATGAGATAGTCAGCTTTCCACAACAAAACCCAGGAAGTGAATCTGGCCAGTAAAGTAGATCCTGGAGAACAGAACAGATGCAAATACACATCCCAACCAATTGTTCCAAGCCATAGAGTTGAAAACAGTGTCCCTGCTCAGTTCCCCATTGTGATGATTTCTGCAAATCATGTAGTGAAGTTGCAAAGTATCATGTTATCATGACAACAAATATTAGACAGATTGCTGGGTAGGTAGTGGTCCTTAGGGCAGTTTCCTCCCATTACTTGAAAGAATGCATGGATCTCTCCTGTCCTTTAGTGTTACAGATAGTCCTCAAGTTACAATGGCAATTGGGACCAGAATTTCAATTGCTAAGAGATATGGAAATAAAGCACAATGTCACATGAATGCATCACTTAGCACTGGAAATCTTGGAAATCCCAGTTGCCATTGTAACCCCAGGATTGTGTACATTTTTAAGCAGAAAGAGTGATGTGACTATACTGTATGTTTATACCAAGATTCTGATTTAGACACTGAGGACTGGTGTGCAACTGAGCTGGGAAAATACCACTGAAAAAGAAGCTTGATGCAAATCACTATGCTATTATATTACGAATGTTGAATCTATGATTATCTGTGGTTCATAGTAGGTGGAGAGGACTGAAGAAACCTACTTCTGATTTACATGTGTTTACATGTATCCATGGATGAAAGTCAACCAAAATAATGACAGAATATATATATAATGTGCTTTGAAAATCTTGCTATTTAATTAAGAAACTCAAAATCCAGACTGAAACTCAGAGGGAATGATTTTTAAAAACCTAACATTTATTTATGCAGGTCAGTCATGGGCTGGTCACTAAAGAATTTGAACTGGAATTGCTGGGAATAAAAAGTCTACCATCATCGTGAACTGGTTCAATTAAGGTCAACCTTAATGTTCTCATTGGTTGAAGTATAGTCTTGAATGGCCTCTTTATTAAGAAAATAATTCCTTCCATCTCTGACTTCTGATATTACCTCTCAGAAAACTCATTACAGGGAATTAGCTATCTAACTATGTTAATTCCAGAGCTGCAATTTTATAATTAAGTGATAATTGTATTGTCTACTTAGCATAAGCTAGGCAGGAATCAATAACTGTATTGATTCACACAACTTAAGGTTGCTTCACCAAAATTTCAACTGAATCCAAATTAGACTTTAATTTTTTGTTCATAGAAAAGCTGTAGAAGTTAGTTGAGCTCCAACAACATTTTCAAGGAAATTTTATTTCTTGTTTTTTTTCCACTAAGAGTTCTGTTAATAGAACCAATAGAAAAGAATCTACAGTATAAAACTATAGCATTTCTTCCCATCTTAAAACCAGAAAATGGTCCAGATTCTCCAACATGATCATTCTCTGTTTTCTGCATAGAGTACTAGGGAAAAATCACAAACTGTTATCATTTTTTTCACTGATGTCAATAAAAATACGCAAAATTATTCCCATGGAAAGCAATGAGACTTAATAGTACTTTTTTGTTTTGTTTTTTGGGGAGGCTTGAATCCAGGGTAATTCTAGCAAATTGTTTCTAAATGTGATGAAGGAAAATACTATACAATGTCTGAAATTAGGAACCAGATGACAACCTGCCAAAATTGAATAGCTGGCAAGGCTAAAGGGAGCTATTTCAGTTTCTCCAAGCTATAATTTTGCAAATGATTTTAGCAGCCGAGATGGACTATTTACTACCATGGCAGGTTGCAATGTTGCTTTCCTTTCCTCCCACATTTTGAACTTATATTTATAAATAATAGATCTCCTACTGTCTGTGGTCTTGCTGGCAGCAATAAACAGCTGTCACAATGCTTTTCTTGGCACCTCCTACTGTTCCCTTGCCAGAGATGGTGATGGTGGTAATGGCAACAACAGAGGATCTTTGCTTCTGCAACTACTTTCCAAGCATTGTAGGGCAGCTAAGATCAGTTTCCAGCTTAGGATCTTCTAGATCAGGGGTGTCCAACCTTGGCAACTTTAAGACTTGTGATCTTCAGTTCCCTGAATTCCCTACAGAATTTGGGGAGCTAAAATCCACAGGTGTTGACATTATCAAGGTTGAACATCCCTTTCTGGCTTATTTGGCTTCATGATTTCTATATACATACCCACAGACAATATTGGCTGACGTTTTGTATACATATATTAAATAAAAGTTATCATTTATCCAATTTAAATTTGCCTGTTAAGTGCAAATTGGAGTAACAATTCAATTTGGGGTGTGGGAGGAGACAATTAATCAAAAATGGTAAGATCTGGCATTATCTGAATTGAAGATAAATGGAATGGAAATGCCTAGGGATGCCTTGAATTTTAATATAGAGCATGAAATGCCGACCCTTGGGTTGCAATATTAGTTCTTGCAGCAGTATTATTATGCCAAGTCCCTACATGCTAACTCTTAAAGAGTGTTCTCATTCCAAGACCTCAAGGGAGTCATCCTTCTTAAGAAATTAAAAGATTGCAACATCATACTGATCACTCCAAGCTCCATTCCATTCCACAGTGCCCCACGGATTCCAGAGTTTGATTAGACATTCTTTCCTGTACATGTAAGGAACCTGTTAAAAAAGGAAGGAAGAGAAAACATCCTAACTTTATATATTTGGCATGAGGAAAGAGGCACACAGATACATTCTTTTATATTTTGGTGGCTATCTCTTGAAGTATATTTAGATAAAGACAGATGTGATCCTGTTAGAGAAATCCTTTTCTGAATAGAAATAGTTTAGAGGTCAGACCATCACATTGCCTTATTCAGAATATAAAATCCTTATATTCCTCACATCCTAATCCTGATCCCAGGGATACTGCTAGACCAAATTTATAGATATGAGTCCTTTTTCTTCATATTAACATTTATTATTGAAAAGAAAGTGAAGATGACCAGCAGTAAAGAAGATGGGCTCAGTTACAGTGATAATGGGTGCAATATTGGAAGACTTGAAGGACCAGGTTAAGAACAGATTATCCTGGAGAAAATCTATCTCTATGGCCTCTAGGAGTCAACAGTGACTTGGTGGCACATAATCAATCAATCAACATTTATTACAAAAATAAAAGTAACCTGTAGATTTATGAAAATTTCATTTGGGCTTTTGGTGATATGCAGATCTCTAGGGAAAAAAAGTTTNTTGGAAGACTTGAAGGACCAGGTTAAGAACAGATTATCCTGGAGAAAATCTATCTCTATGGCCTCTAGGAGTCAACAGTGACTTGGTGGCACATAATCAATCAATCAACATTTATTACAAAAATAAAAGTAACCTGTAGATTTATGAAAATTTCATTTGGGCTTTTGGTGATATGCAGATCTCTAGGGAAAAAAAGTTTCTTTTAGGAGGCATTGCTTTATGCACTTCCACTTACATAAATAAGAAACATAAAAAGCTTCCACGGAGATGCATAATGCATCTAAAAAGTCTGTCATCTTGGAATATATTCACTGAATTCTGAATTTGACTCTCATTTGGATATAAACCTCTCTGAATCAGTATCTAAATGCTATCTGTTCACAGTTGGAATGTATTTTTTTCCCTAATTCTATACTGATTGCCAAAAAGGTCTCCTTCAAGGTCATTCTAGGATCTCTTTTCATATAAGTCTCTGAAATGTTTTGCATAAGAAATATATGATAGAATCTAGTAATAAATTTTGGAGTTGGTGGGAGAGCAAGCTCAGATTTCAGGCAATTCATTCCCTCAGAAATAACCAACATGTTCCCCTTGTTCTTACGACTAATTAAGCCATGTGACCCAGCTGCTTTGCCCTCCACTCCTAACCATGATGACACTGCATGGAGCATGAACCAGCAACTTATATAACTGCGATGCCACCATTTTATAACTCAGAAATTGCTACAAGTCATATCCATGCACAGGCTAGTTCACGTTAGTTTCCTCAGTATAATCCTTACCATACAGTGGGGGGGGGATGAACTTCTGCATATAAACCAAATCCTTCAAGTCTTTTTGTTTAGGGGCTGATTAGAATAACCTGAGAATATCATGAGAATTTCACCTTTCTATAGAGAAATCATTGGTTGATAAGTATTATCTAGTGTAGTTCCTGGTATGGAGCCAGTGGTTAATGCATCACCTTAATCATAAAAGTTTATGGCTTAAGCAAAGTCATTATAATAATTAAAGTCTTTATGCTTAAAGAGAATATATTAAATCATAATACTGTATGAATATCATTATCTCTTTAATCACATATTCTGTACAACAATGGTATCATTCTTGGCTTCCAAAGTGCTGTATCCAAATACAAAGGAACTTTAAAATGCATGATTACTATTTTTTTTTCTCATAGGGGATTGGATTGTCTCTACATTTCATATATGTATGTGATGGTATGCAGTGTGGGTGGGAAGGGTATCTGAAAGAGATGTCCATGTTGTAGCAACTTCTGAACACTGATAATTAAGCTAGACAAATGGATCTGCTATTTCAATTTTCCATAAGACTCACAAAATACATCTCACAGACCCAGTCATCTAGTGTAGTACTCTTTTTTCCATGACCCATTAGCCACGGGTCTAGGAGGAGACCCACTAGAAGTTTCTTTGTGAAAGGCTCCTTCAGAATTGGAGCTGGTCTTCAAAGAGAAATGTCTTCATAATGTATTTGGCTCCTTAACTCTAGATCAAGATGTTTGCAAGACAATAAATGTCAAGAGCTATTGTCACCACTGAGTGCTTCTCTCCCTTTGCAGAAAGCCAGATCAATTCTGTATCTCATATTAATGGGTAGGTTTGCTGCTACTGATGAAAGGAAAACCAGAGGATTAGATAAATTTGCTGTCTTTCAAGACCTCTTCTCTTGTCATTGTGGATATTAGCATTAGAAATTATGTCTCTGGTGGGATGAGCACTAACCTCATCCTGATCCTCTTAAGTGCAATAACTCCTTTGCTTTCTTTCACAATTGTTGGATTATTTCTTCTGGCTAAATTGATCTACTCTGGAGTAGATCAATTTAATATCATATTTGGGGAAGGCAAAGGCTTGTGCTTTGGAAGAATAAGCCTGAGTAAATGACTTCTTCATCCTATTCCAAATTTCTGACCCTCCATTTCAATGCAAATTGCAAAGCTGTTCTTGAGCTTGAGCTATGTAGCATAATCCACATTTTTGGGTGGTTGTCACTAGATGTGGTTTTATTATCCTTTAAGGGATGTATAATTCTATTATGTTTTCTATCAAATAGAAAAGAACCTTCAAGGCTTCAGCAGTAGACTTTCTGGAAAATTTAAATTACATTCCATCCTTCTTGCTGTCTCTCTGTCTTTTATTACAAAAAAGATGGTCCTTGTTCCCAGAAAATGAAAGAGATAGATTTTCAATGCAGATGAATTTTTTTATTGACTGTGTGTGTGTGTGGGCGTGCACATGTGTGTGTGTGTGTGTTTACTGTGAGATTACAGATCTATAGAACCAAGCATAGGCAGTTTGCATGAAAGCTGAAAGTGTGAAAATAGCATGCCATTCAGAGCAGCAGCCTTGCTGATTTTTAACACTGAATTCACAGATTTACTTATTACATTAGATCTCATTTTTTTTATTCTGGAATGGAATGGAAATCAAGGCCATGGAATATTCAAGTGATTTCTTGCATAGGCATTAACTAGATTTATCCATGCTTAACTTCAGCATCATGCATGAACTACTGTACCATGAGCTATCAGACAATAGCTGAAAATCAGTTCACAGAAATACTCAATGTTCTTATCTATATAGGGCAATTGTTTCATTTAACACAAGAAACAGCCTGTTATTCAGAGATTTTGTAGGAATAATGTCATTCCAAGGCTCAAAGCAAACAGTTTTTTTTTTTTGTCTTTTGCTGCATCTCAACAAACGTGCACACTACCCATATGGACATTACGAGCATGTTTAACAGGGAAGATTTCAGAAATGGTGCAGTGGTGCTACTCTACTATACTTCCTGCAGAAAATAATGAAGAACCCCATTTTCTGACCCTCCTAAGTATCTCTGCATTTTACAACTTGACTCCCCCACCTTTGTGTTGTAATTGAAATAAACTTCAGAGCAGTTGAATTGCAGGATTCATTTTACATTGATTCATTTTACATCAACTGTAGAATTGTTTTTCTTGGTACCCAGAAAGCCAACAGAAATTGCTCTGACTTATACCACAGGGTTAGATGATGATGATGGTGATGACAATGATGATAATTGTAATAAGAATGCATCCCACCACTTCTTCACATAGAAAAAAAGGATATGGTGGGAGAGTTTTGATTATTGTCTGATGCAACTGCTCAATTCCTGGCAGCTGAATTACATGAATATTGATGCCTTCTCAACAAACAGAATTAAGAATCTTTCTTGGGCTTCTATGCAGGTATTTAAATGAAAGTGCAGAAGCTGGCAGTTGGCCAATGACTCATTAAATTAATACCTTAAAGGAGCATCTGTCATGCTCTTTTCAGGAAATCTTGTGAGTCCTCATCAAAATCACCTGCAGCTATAGATTTGAGTGTTGCTGTGGCAACTCCATTCTTTTGGCAGCTTGTCCTTGAGCAAGGTGATTCTGCCTTGTATCAGATCAATCACCAGTCCTGTGAGGTCACACTAGCATCCTTAAAATATCTACTTAGGTTAGAGGATGCCATTTCTACTATGTGGTTTCCAACCCTTGAAATGTTCTGACATTAAGAATGAACCCTAAGCAGCTTACTAGTTCTCACTGCATTGAACACAATCAATTTGCTTATGATAGTCTCAAATTAAATTATCTGGAATGAGCCTACTTATGTCTTCATTCATTTACATTCTGATAGCCTCTTAAAATTTGCTGGGCTTTCTTTTTCAGTAGCAAGCTATCTTTTAGTACCATTGACTTAGCCAATAAATATTAACTACCGGCTTAGAGCTCTTAATCCTTTACTTGAAAATAGTGAATTGGCTGACTATGGACTTGACTAAATTAATCATTTATTTTTTTACTCTAACAAAAAGTTGTTTGGAGTATTTTTGGAAAGCAAGAGTGAAATGGTGAAATCACCGTGAGGAAAGGAATCACACAATATTGCCTTCTGGTTCATAAAGCAATGTATCAACAAAAATAAAGGAGAAAAACCAGTAGAACAGTTGCCAATTAGAAGAGAAGACTATAGTGAAAGGAGAGATTTATTTATTTTACCTCTGTGGCATCTATAACAGCATAGACATGTTGCTGCACAATTCCATTTTCCAATACTTCGTTATCCGGCTTTTTCTGAAAGGGTACAAAACAGTTTTACTCTCTCTAAAACATTTACGTTTGGTCCAACAAATAACTGGGTAGCTTTATTTTGATGTCACAGTGGCTCAGCAGTTAAGACACTGGGCTTGTCATCTGGAAAGCAGGCAGCCCAGGTTCAAGCCCTGGTGCCATGCAACGGGATGGGTTTCTATCCTCACCCCAGCTTCAAGCAAATGCAAGTAGATAAATAGGTCCCACTTCAGTGGGAGAGTAACAGCCACATGATCACAGAAATGTCTTCAGACAACACTGTCTAAGGACAACACTGGCTCAATCTCCTTGAAATGGAGATGAGCACTGGCCTCTAAAGTAGCAATGACTAATGGAATAAAATCTGCAAGGATTCCTTTATCCCAAAGGTGCTTTTTTCACGAGGCAACTGGATTTTCTTGTTTTTTTCTTTGAAGATGTTTCAGTTTTCATTCATGAAGTTTCTTCAGCTCTGATTGGATGGTGGGAGAATGCCAGGATTTATACTCTTTGCAGAGAACTGGTCATTTGCATTCTTTTAACGTCATTGAGGCCACCTGGAGGTTTATCTGTTTGTCAGGGTCACCTGTATCTGATGACACAGATAAGCCTCCAGGGGCTTCAACGACTCGCTAAAAGAATGCAAATGACCAGCTGTCTGCAAGGAGTATAAATCCTGTCATTCCCCACCATCCAGTCAGAGCTGAAGAAGCTTCTTGGATGAGAAGTGAAACATCTTCAAAGAAAAAACAAGAAAGTCCAGTTGCCTTGTGGAAAAAAGCACCTTTGGGACAACCATGACCAGGATGACTGAGAACCTCCACAGACAAGGATTCTCTTACCTTTTTTTTTTTAGTTTGATGGGAATAAAAATCTGGATCTTTTTTCATGGGAGAGGCACAGCCCCCACTAAAATTATGGGTGCTTACCCTTAGGACATGTACTACTTATGGCATAAGCATAATTGAGCTAAATCAGCTGAATAGCTTTGACTTGCCACCTGCTGTGTTTGATAAGCTCCCTATTTTTAAAGCAACACAAGCAGTCAAAAGCAGGGGGTTACTTAAGAGCACTACAAGGCATATGCATTTTAATTTGCCTCTTCTGCTTTTGAGAAGGGATGATCTGCTTCCCCCTTAGCAGAATAAATTTCTGGCTCTCGTTTTCTTTTCCTGAGAAAGTCTGCTTAAGCCCAAATAGTACGCTATTACTGAGAGTTAGCAGGGGCAGATGGGAATTGTATTTTTAAAAAATATATAAGCTGCTCAAAGACCCTCCAGCTTTGTTTAACCTTTAATAAGTGTGGTGAGTTTATAGCAGCACTGGGCTCTGTATACATAGGCATTGGATTTTCTCTGGTGCTCCATGACCAGGAAATAGAGGATAAGATGTAGAAATCTTTCTGCAGAAAGCATGCTGTGACTGTTTGCCAATCTTTTTTGAAGTTTGAAAGAAAGCCAGAAAAACATTCCTTAACAACCTTATGCATCAGGGTTTATTCCACTTTTGGGGGGAGTGGAATGATAAATGCTAGCTAGGCTGTGCTTGTTTGTTTGTTTCCTGTCTTTATTATTTTTACAAATAACTCAAGGTGGTAAACATCCACAATACTTTCTCCTCCTCCTCCTCCTCCTATTTTCCCCACAACAGCAATCCTGTGAGATGGGTTGGACTAAGAAAGAATGACTGGCCCAAAGTCAGCCAGATGGCTTTCATGGTTAAGGTATCAGATTCTCCCAATTTCTAGCCTGGTCCCTTAACCATATTAGACTAACTGGCTCTCACTATTGCCAATTCCATAATAGATTCTGTTGAAACATTCCAAACCCTTTCCTATGAAATTTGGGGTTAACTTAATTTATATCTTTATTATAGGTGGTTAATCTATGTTTAGAAAATGCAAAAAAAAAAAAAAAAAAGAGAATATTCTGGATTCAGTTGTGGATAGGGAATCCAATTCCACCAATTCCTATTTAAGAAAAATACCAGCAAAGGAAAATCATCCATCCCAAACTTGCTAATAAATGCCATCTTATAAATGTCAACTTAAATAATTGAATTTCCTCTAATTCCTTTTCCCTCTATTCCTCATCCTTTTATGTCTTTTTACTGGTGGTTGTGAACTGGCTTTAGAGTTTATTCTTCTTTTTAAATTGAAATGAGCTGCTTTGGGAAACAATAGTTAATTGAAGACATAATCAAATATAGGGGAGTAAGTAAATAAGCAAGTAGGTATGTAAAGGATCTGGCTGCAAGGATATTACTGAGATCAAATTGAGTCCTAAAGGCAAAACATGTTTGAATGTTCTTTTCCAAGCTACTCTGCTTGTATCTGCCCATCTGTATTACTACATCCAACTTACAAGCCCACTGGAAGTATTGAAACAAGAAAACAAGAAAAAATAGCATTCTGACCAACTCTTTAGGATTTCAGTATGGAAGGGAGAATGCCAGTTGAGATGCTAGTGGGAAAATAGTCAAAATGTGACAACTTCCATAAGCAGCAGATCGCTGGATTTATTCAGGGTGGGGGGAACTTTAATTTTTTTTTTGCTACATCCTAAAGAATATTTGGGACAGGAATGGGTAATAATGAAAAGGTGTTATAATGTCACGTAGTTCAAAGATTATGTTCTATTTTTTTCCAGAGGAAAAAAGTAAACTGGCAAAAATTAAGAAATGAGCAATATTTAAAACAAGGGCCTATGTAAAAGTCTTAAAAGCCCAAATGACTAAATCAGGGATGAAAAATTGTAAGAAGAGCAACTAATCCAAGAGATATTAACATTTTTAACTAAATAGTTATAGAATAGAGCTGGAAGGTATCTTGGAGGTCTTCTAGTCCAGCCCCCCGCTTAAGCAGGAGAACCTACACCATCTCAGACAAGTGATTGTCTAGTCTCTTCTTAAAGATCTCCAGTGATGGGGTGCCCACGATTTCTGGGGTAAGCTGTTCCACTGATTGATTGTCCATAGCTCCTGAATACTTTCTGTTGGCTGAAAATTTTATAATTGGATGGAACCACAGAAATAGTTCTAGAACTTATAGCTATCTTAACTGATCAAGAGGTCTAAAATAGTGTCAAATGGCAAGCGTGAAGCAAGAATATATGGAAGAAGCTGCTCCAGAAACCAACTGGAAGCAAACAGGGAGAAGAGACATTCCTAGCTCTTTCCACATCTTACATCAGTCAGTTTGCCCAAGAAAGAGTTTTGCCATAGTTTAATCTGGAATTTATTAAGACATAAGTAACTGACATGTTCTGTTTTTGTCAGAAGGTCAACAGAACCCAGTAAAAGGCACATCTCAGAATTAATATGATCTGCAGATGTAACAAGGAGCAGTGCCAAACAAGTTTGATTTTCCACCGATAGTTGTTGACTCTGAAGTCCTAACTCCACTTGGTTCCTTGGGTCAAATTCAGAATTTTCTATGGCTTGGGTCTCCCAACTTTCTAGTATTATCTTATGATCATATATGTTTGGTGGGTCAACAGAGGTACTAGTTTATTTTCTTGCTTTCTGGCATTCTTCTTAGCACTATCCAAACTATGAACTGTTCTGCACCATGAAAGGATCGTTTGTGTCCTAAATGCATCATTTCATCACAAGTAAAGATCTTTTAATTTTCCAAGAATCTTCCAACTGTACATTGTCACGGTTATTGTTGTTTTGATATCTAAAGGATTTTTTCTAGTAACTTTAGAGAAACTATTCTGAGAATCTCTTCTGAACAACAGGATCCCAGTCTTTGTAAACTTACCCTTTGAGGAGTGGTGCATGCCATTAGACAGCCTGACAAAGCAGCAGTTTTCATTATTTCAAACAAATGATCAGTAAGATTTCCAAGATTGAATTCAAACTGGACCCCACCTGTGAGATCTACGAAAGCTTCTGAGATAAGGCCGTAGTGCAACTTCTCATAAGAACCACGCAATCTAGAAGAAAAAGGAAGACATTCAGGGTAGGCAGCAAAAGGATGCCTGTTTATATTATACATATAAACAGAATGTTTATATGTATAAAAATATAAAAGAAAATTGATGGTTAGAGAAGTTCAGGTAGGTTAATGGTAAATTTTCTTTCTAGCACCACTAGTGTGTTCTGTTAAGTAAGACTAGAAATAGAAACATGGCTTTAAATTAAATATATATTTCTATTATATTGCCATTTTTGATTTACCTAATAGGCTAGATATTTTTTTTTCTTACTTTGTCAATTAAAGTCAGTAAATGGATTATACTATATATTTGTTAATAGTTCGTTGTTTTAGATTTATTTCATTTCTTAATTCAATACAAACAGTAAGTCTTTTCTTGGTTCTAATTCATCCCCTTTCTTTTTCTTTTATCTTCTTTCTTTCTTTCTTTCTTTCTTTCTTTCTTTCTTTCTTTCTTTCTTTCTTTCTTTTTACTTTTTTCTTTCCTTTTTCTTTTCTTTCTTTTTCTTTCTTTCTTTCTTTTTTCACATAAATAAATAAATATACACATCCATCCATCTAGCCCCATGCATGTCCTGGAATAGGTTTAATATCTCATATGCAATTAAGAGAACTGAAGAATGTTTGTGGTCATCATACAATATAGTAACCCAGAGAAAAAGGACAGTTCAAGTCCATCTTGTGTTGGATTTACTTTCTAGAGCCATTGAAGAGCACAATACGACAAACTCTCTAAGGTAGCAGGTGTTGCCTCCCACTTTCTATTAATCTGAATGAAAGGTGACCTCAAAGTTTCAGACAGTATAATCCAAGAATATTATGGTTCCATTTTTTGAATGGCTTAAGTACAAAGAGTCTTATTTAATCATCCCTCTAGCCCAGAAGATACTGGGCTCCAATAGGCTGGAAATGTTTCCACTCTTCCAGGAAGAAGGGCAAACGCAGAAGTGAAGCTGGGTTGAGATGTTACATAAACAAGAGCTTCAGAAAAAGTCTTCTACAAGAAAACGTTGTAGAAAGTTCTGTATTTGTCAGACTCTTAAAATAACTGAAAATACTTCTAAAAACATCCCTGCAGTTTTCTTTTCTGATAAATCTTTGTCCCCAAATAAGCTTTTATACATTGTTTAATGCTGCATGCAAAAATTATATCATGCATCATATCCTGAAAGATAAAACAACACCCTTGGTTACAACCCAAAGTTAAAAACATTTTCTCTGTTGGAAGGAGATCTGTCACAAATAATTAAACAAGAAAGTAAGAATAAAATTAAACACAGCCTAGGTGTTTATTATTTGTTCCATTTTTATTTAGTTCACATCATTGAATGTTCATCAGATAGTGCCACACTAAAGACTAAAAAGCATGTTTCAAGTCTTTTTTATTTTATTTTGCGCTTATAATTATTAATACAAAAGAAAAAAAGAGAATCAGAATTCACTACACTAGTAGCATGTGTCATTTAATAAAAGTAACAACACAATCTGAGCTTCATCCTGAATAAAAAAAAATAGAAATTCATGGTTTATTTTATTTAAAGCTAATGTTTCCAACCTAGCATTTTCCTTTCTATTTCTTCTTTAACTTTTTTCTTTTCTTGTACTTTTTGCTTTCCCTTTGTTTTCTTTCCATATCTTTTCTTCTTTACTTTGTATTAGTTTATATTAGTTTTATCTTTTTTAAAAAAGCTTTAATAAAAATTATATATTTTAAATATATACATAATATTGAACATAAAAATAGAGTAAAAATATAACATATTAAAGTGTAATATTAAAATATTAGAAACTAGCAATTAGACAAAAATAAATGTAAACAACTGGAAAATGTATGATTCCATTTTTAAATTTGAGAAATAAAAAAATTAAAAAATTCATTTATAATATTTTAGACTTTGAAGAAGTAGGATTAACATATCTGAACTCTGTAGAAGACTCTTAAAAATACCATGAATAGCCATCAAATGGATCATAAAACAGATCAATCTGGAGGTCTCACTCAAAGCAGAAATGACCAGGCTCAAATTATCAAATTCTGGGCATATTATGCAAAGATGTAGTTCTCTGGAGAAGTCTCTAATGCTGGGATAGTTCGAGGGAAAGAGCAGAGGTTGACTAGGAACAAGACAAATGGACCCAGATGGACAAATAGGTGCACCATTAGATCTGAAGGACCAGCCTTTGTACTCTAGAGAAAAAATTAAGTGTCACTAAAAGTTGACACTACCACATAATCAATTAATTTAGATTGTCTCTCTGTGTGTGTGTGTGTCTGTGTGTGTCTCTATGTCTATGTCTGTGTGCGTGTGTGTGTGTATGCAGATAACACATTTGGAGTGACTTTTTAAAGTAACTAAAGTTGTTTTTTATTGCTTTTCCTGTCTTGTTTTTCTGACATTGTCCTTTGGGGACTGACAACTCGACTCACATTTGATGAAGGCTGGGTTCGCTAAAAATGATCTGAACTGATTCTAGTTGAAACTGCACAATTGTTAGCAACAGAAAATACACACTAATACTGATTTATAGAAAAGTGTGGTTAGAAAAAGTGTCATATGGAGTCAAAAAATATGTATACATTTCCAGAGAGAAGATAATAGAAGTTTAGTAATTGGACTTTGACTTCTGATGATCATGCAGATATATATCCATGTCATTTCTTGCCTTCCTCCAGATTGTTCTTTTCCCACCATGGCCTGTTCTAAATCTTGACAATTTCCATTCATTTACTAAAAAAGTCCAACCCTGCTTAGCACTGGCTCAATACTATCACACCATGAAAGACATATCTTTGGTATTGATCCCAACAATGACCCCACCAACTTCTATTTACTTTGTGACTGATTTGCACTGTACTCTATATAAATCTACACAGTGCTGCACTATGCAATGTTTAAATGTTTAAAGTCCACTTAAGCAAAATTGCTTCCCAGCCTCTGGAATTAAAAATGCATGAAAAGAAACAATAAGAGAGGTCTATCCCCATTGCTTTGTCTAACCCTAACCTTAAATAGCTATTTAGATGGGGGGCTGCCCATCTCACAAAAATGTCTCTGGATGGCATACAAAAATTAGAACAAATGCTACAAGGTTTCTTGGTAAGGTTTCTTTTTTTCAGTGTTGTGCCAGATTGCTTCTTGCTGTTGTTAGTATGTACAATATCTTAATAAATTGTGATAGTTTCTATTTATGTTTTTTGGAAACATACCTTATAAAAATATCCGTGGTCTAAATTCTAATTTTATTTTCAGAGTTTTTTGAAAATTTGGTGTATTTCTTTCCAGTAATTTCAAGACTTTTTGCATAACCATCACATGTGATAAATTATTCCTTTCTTATTGTGCATTTACAATATTTATTGTTAAATCGTTTTTCTACCTTGGTAATCATTCAGTTATATACCATCTGTATAAGATTTTGTTCCAATTTGCCTTCAAACTGTAGCTTGGAGTAAATTCCATGATTTTTCCCCCCATAATTTTTCCTATGGTTCCACTGTTATTACTTCTTTAAAAGTTTTGCATTCATTTGATTAGACATTTTTTATTTTGTTCTATCTCTGTGCCATATTTTGAATAACAGTTTTAAATATGTCCTAACATGATCTTAATTCTGTGTAAGTATTTCCAATTCTGACATCTTTGGGCTTTGTTCAGCTTCAGGGCTTATTAACCATTGTTTATACAACAGATTTCCTGACATTTCAATGGCAACTAACGGCTGGCATCTTCAGAGGCAACTGGGCAGGGATTGATTGGGCTCCTACCTTTACAGCTATGTGACCTGACTTTGGATTGGTCTTAAAGATTGGTCAATCGCATCAACAATAGCAGAACTCACTAACCTTATGGGAGACTAACAGGGCTGTGGCCATTTCCAGGGGGATGCTGCTCCACAGGGCAGGCACTGCCACCAAAAAGGCATGGCTCCAGGAACCAACCAATAACACTATTTGATAGAAAGGATTCAAAGCATGCCATCTCTGCTAGATTTGGTGGGATGAATTCTGCAACCTTCTGACAATCAAAGTCAACGAGGGAGCCAAATTCATTTAACAACTGTGTTACTAACTTAACAACTACAGTGATTCACTTAATAACAACTGTTATTAAAAAAGGTCATAAAATGGGGCAAAACTCACTTAACTATATCTCTTAGCAACAGAGCTAAGGGCTCAATCATGGTTGTAAGTGAGACCTTAATCTTAAAAGAGTTATTAATATTGTACTATTGCTTCTTCAAGGACTAGTAGGGTAGTCCTCGACTTACAACAGTTCATTTAGTGACCGTTCAAAGTTACAATTGCACTGAAAAAAGTGACTTACGACTGTTTTTCACACAACCATGGCAGCATTTCCATGGTCACATAATCAAAATTCAGACATTTAGCAACTGAGTCATATTTATGAGAGTTGCATAATGGAGCAAAATTCACTTAACAACTGTTTCACTTAGCAGCATAAATTTTGGGCTCGATTGTGTCATAAGTCGAGGACTACCTGTAATCATATGAGTTTTAAATGAAGCAGGAAAGTAGCTTTTTTTCTCCGTTGATGGCCTTATGATTTTTTTCATGGAGAATCTGTTAAAGATATCTATACATTGAAACTAGTGATTGGACTAGTAAATGACTATAAACAAAGACACACACACACACACACACACATACATATGGTGGTGAGACATATAAGCAAAACTTGAAATAGAAACAGGTTTTGGAAATATTTACTTGGCATAAGCTTTCTCAAGCAGAGGTGGCCAGAATTCATTTGTGCTCCTGGGATGAACTGATAAGTAATTTCCATCCACGAAAGGCAGACGGTCATCTATCACCACATCAACCCAGCTTCCAAAATACCAGAACTACAGAACAAGAAAAAGAAGGATCATTTTAATAGTTTTTCATTATAGCACATCATGAAATGAATTTTTTAAATAATTATTACTAGAATTCTTTCCTATCCTTTGGAAATCAAGGAGGTGCTCATGGAAATGTCCTTTCATTATAAATTCACAAGAACCTTTTGAATTAGACCTGATTGAAAGAAAATGCATGTTTTGAAATTAACAGGAGGTTTCATAATTGAGTGGAGGCTATTTCTTTCTTTCTTTTTTTAAGAAGAAAGAAAGAAAGACCATAAAAAGACAGAGAGAAAAAGAAGTACCCTTCTCCAAATTTATACATGTCTCTTAACAAAACAAAGTTAATTTTACATCTATATCCATATCTAGTTATACAATTGAATTAATAATATTTAAGTCTGTCTAATTTAGAAACAAATGGGGAATTAAATGTATAAACTACATATATACTTTTCTTAATTTCTACTTGGTAAAATAGATTTGGAAAAAAATTGCTGGAACATAGGGAATTAAATTCTTCAGACCATTACATAGCTTTTTGAGAATAATTACCATTTAAATAATTACCATTCAAACAGTATCAGTGTTATGATACTGTACAAGAACACTGTATGCATTGCAATTGTCTTCCTGTTAATTTCCAAATTACTGGAAAATAATAATGATCATCTACAACCAATGATTTTTACAAAACAAAATTAATGTTTTCAGTTAATCAAGGCTTTAATTTGGATTTCCCCAATCTTACATCTTAACCAGTAGTCTTGCTTTAGTGAATGTCTAGAGCAATTTCGCACAGGCAGGTGGCCTTGGTCAAATTCATAGATTAACAAGGTATTATAATAAGAGCCTTGCAGTCTTAGGCTACAAATTAGTATCCTGATTTTAACAACAAACATCCAGATGTTTTAAGGGCACTAAAATGACAACATGAAATCCTTCTATGTTGACTCTGTTTTTACATGTTCCAGCAGGAAATATTTAAACATATATTGCATCTGAATCTATAATCACAATCACAACTAAATCTGTCTAATGCTATTTTAAAGTTTGTAAACTTAACTCTACATTTATGAAGGTCAATTATATAAGGTAATTAATGAACTGGGGTGTTTCAATCTATCCTGAATCAAATAGAATTGGTTTTACTGGATGATCCAGACTTTAGAACCAGAGAACAGGCAAAGTAGGGTCTTCCCCTTCTTTTCTTCACAACAAAGAAAAAGGGGAAAAAATTCCAACTTTGTAGTTACTTTGTCTTTTCTCTAAATCATCGTTAACAACAACAAAATAACTTTTTCTTCTTTGCACAGAGAATAAAATTTTGTATTTTTCTGCTCCATCTGTATAATTTTTAAATAACCATATTGAAAAATTATACCATAATTATATAAGATTATACCATAATCTCATAAAGTAGGCATTATAATACAAAATAGGGAAGATTGAATATTGGAGGATAGTTATCTAAAACTCCTGCATCTAAGGATAGTCCTGTCAGAAGGGCATACACTCCTTCTCAAACAACTTCCTTTCAGAAAGCAGTAAATCACTTATTTAAATATAAAAAATTGAAGGATATTGCTTGGTAGAATGATGCATATGTGTATTTATTGTAGAATTATTGTGCGATTCATTGATTAAAACAGTCTAACAGATAAACTGCTTTTCAAACAGCCTAGCTGACAAAGATAGTATGTGAAATTAATTGCTTTAAAAAAAAAAACAACCCTTCATTCTCCTCAAGCATTATATTTTCAATAACTATTGATTAAGCATGAGATGCTTGGTTCGTTTTGCCAAATCATACAATGGACTGTGTCTACAATGAAATACAATAGTTAAAAGTTATTATTTTACCTACAGTATGAAAGAAAAGGATTCTACTGGCCACTTAAGCAGCTGGAGAGTACAGGTGTTCATCTATGAAGTACATATCAATTGTTTCAAGAAAGGAGTAAAAAAAGATTTTACTATGGACAAACCAAAGAATCCATTTCTGCCATCATTAGCAGGCTAATGGAGTGTGTCATGACTTTGCTAGCTCTATGAGACAAATCTCCATAGCTGTAAAACAAAGGCATAAACTGAAGTATCAGGGATCAATTTTAGCATTGAATGGTTGCTTAGATGGGGGACTTTGAAAGATTCAGGAAAAACAGAATGAAGCTCTTGAAAGGTCAAATCTTTGGAAGGTCACAAAGAAACATGAAGGGGATGACTTTGCCATACTGTCATTTAATAAGTAATAATCAAGTAAAAATAGGCCTGAAAGTTTTATGTGAATGTAGAATTAAAAGCACTAGGCATGAAAGCAAACAATGTTTAGTGCATGGTTCAACACTGAATAAGGTTTAAGTCAAGGAAGTGGGATGTATTTATGAATCAATGTTATGGAGAAGGCTTGTGATGATACTAGAGGAGTTTAAGTTGGGGGTGTGACTGCATGTGTACTTTTGTGTGCAGATGATGCTGTGTTGTTGATTGAGAATACAAATTATTTGTTACAAACTTTAGCTTGTAAAATAGTCTGAAAAATAGTTAATCGAAAAACAAAGTAGTTGCCTTTCATAGGGGAAATGGAGCAAACTGCTGCAAGTTATACATAAATGGTAAAGACTAGCAAAAGTAGATTTTATATACCTTAATACAATGTTTTTTTAAGAATACAAATGCTGGTAGAAAAGTAGTATAGTTATGTGCTGAGATAGCAAGGAACACTTTTTGTTGTTGCTATTGAAAGAAGAGAAAACAATTGTGCATAGTGGTGCACTTCTGCCCAATTTGTTTTATGAGAGTGCAAGGGAAAAAACATAATTTGTTTTGAATTATGAAGTTGAATGCAGTGGGAATGGAGTAGTTAAGAAGTGTGTGTGTGATAAAAAGAGAAAAGCTCAAGAGTGGATGTATGCTGAATGAATGTGGACACTATATGCAAGTGAATTATCACTATGTAAGAAATGTGTTAAGATGCCTTGGAGAGGCTCACAGAGAGAATGAATGAGGAGTGAATTGTAAAACAAATATTTGAAGAGTGAATGAGTTGGGAGAAGACAAAAACCTAGAATGTTATGGGCTGGAAGGAACTGATGAGATCCTGAAAAAGAGAATTGTGAGAAGCTTAGGAAATAAAAAGCAAAATATAAATAATGTATGGAGACAGTGGAAGCAAAGATAGTTGAAAAGGATAAAAAATATCAAGGGTATAATAAACAGGGCTGGCACAAAGCAGTTTTAGCTGCTGAATTTTCCTTCTTTTATCTTATCTCGTGCTTTTTAATTCCTTTGTTTTAGTGTTTCTTATATCGTCTGTGCACTCAGCAGAACATTACTTATCCTGAAAGAAAACAGTGTCATGGGTATGCAGGTAACAAAGGTAGATAGGTAAGTAGATCTCTTTATTTTATTTTATTTTATTTTTAAAAAAGAACATTCTTCACAAAGTTGGACAGAAACTAATTAGCAAGTTAGGTTGTGTTAGCAACTTTGAAGAGATAATATAAAACTATTACAGACCAGACCTTTTAATTTAGAGAAACAAGATTGGGGGTTGCTTTTCTTTGCTTCAGTTTGATCTTGCAGGAAGAACTATAGATCCAGGTGTATTGAGCTGCTGATAAGGGGGCAGTGAAAAATGGTTTCAGATAGCATTTATAGATTCTGCTTCTTAATGATAGGTTGCTTCCAAAGAAGTGCCAGTCATGAAGCAATTCCCAGCAGAGAATTTTATATCTATATTGGAATCAGCATTAAAAAGCAAGCCATATATACTATTCAGAACTAAATATAATACGTGGAATTGATTATCGTGGAGAATCTGACATGACTTATTCTGTTGTTCACTGAATTTATTTGTACACTACAGGGGCTACAAATGGTAGTAGTGAATGCTTTAGCTATTCTGGAAAAAAAACCTTCATTTGATATAAGTATGCAACTTACATTTATCTCAGAGGTACCTCTGTATGCCTCTTTTTACATACGTTAATAAATATACTTATAATTGTGCTTATTTTGTTATTATGTTTGCATTTAAAGATCTTTTGAACTTTAATAATGCTAACAAGAAATACCTATTGTCATCCAAGCTCTAGGTTTTAAAATAGTTGAAAAAGACACTGCAACATTTTGCATCACATACCTGAAAATGAAAGATTCCTGCATAAGTGTGATTAAATTCTTGGTCTATAGGAATCACATTTTTCAGGAACCGCTGTTGTTGGATCAAAGCACCCAGAGCTGCTAAAACCCAACAGTCACCTTTTAAAAAAAATGACAAATTAGAAAAATTAGAATGACAAATTAGAAAAGTTCACATAACTTCATATCTAGAATTCACAAGAGCCTGGCTATTAACCCAACTGATGGGCCCTGGCCATTGATTTTTCCAATATGTCTGAACATGCTTGGAAATCAGCATAAGATTCATTCATTGTCTCCTGGCATGTGCTCTCCAGTATGGTAAGGTTCTTTTTTATAGCTCATAAAGAATTACATGATATTTGCCCAATTCTAAAAATTAGGTATTATTTACTGAATGGGATTTTCCCAAAAGGTTAACCTCTGGCTTGGAGTCTAAAGTATTGGTATGGTGAAACCATGACCCCAACCCCAGCTGTTATGGAGGTCCTTGAATAAATATTTCTTGAAATAATTCATTTTACCCTTAGTGAAACAGTTCTCAGTTACTCTGCAATTATTTTGTAAATGGATGCATGTTACATTTTTTATTGTTATCCCTTTATTCTTGATTGAACAACTATAAATTGTTGTAGGATATTTCACTGGTTACCATTTAGTGTAAATGTAGTGTCTTGTCTGATGAATGTCATATCTGAGTCAATCTTCTTCCCAATTATTTTTTACAAATATTTTATCACATGACCCAGTTGTGTTTCATGTATTTTTTCCCAGATATGTATGTTAGGGGGACAGGGAAAATATAATTTTCAAGGTTACAAATTGGAGTTTACACAAATATATCGTTCCACTTTTGAAAATAATTCCGAAAATGAATGAAACCACCTCTGTTATTCCTGACTTATGCTTAAAGATTTAGATTCTAGTGATATTGGCATTTTTTAAAAAACAAAGAAAAAAAGTTTTCTGGTATCATTTCTGTTGTGTTCTTTGTATTCCCCCCCCCCTTAATCCCCTATGCATATCCTGATCACCCATTAAGGGTGATTGCCCTTCACCATTGATCGCCCATTAAGGGTGATTGCCCTTCACCATTGATCACCCATTAAGGGTGATTGCCCTTCTCCATCTGCATACAGTTTCATGCCCGTTGCTGGTTGGCTAACTAGCAACAGGG